TTGGTGGGGTAAGGATTGACCTGCTGGGTGGTCTTGTAGCTCACAGCTCCTGGCTCCATCCTTCCCCCAGAGGTTGTGAGATTCCCAGGAGAAAAGAAAGGCAGGTTGTAGCCCATCCCCACATCCGTGGGGACTGTCCCACATCCATGGGGACTGCCCTACATCCGTGGGGACTGCCCTGTCAGGTGAGAGGACTGCCCCTCGTAAATTACAGAGCTCAGGGCTTCAGGGAAGAGAAAAGCAGATTACTGCCACAAAAAGTTTTATATTACGGGGCTTTCCTGGTGATGCAGTGGTTGAGAGTCTGCCTGCCGATGCAGGGGACGCGGGTTCGTGCCCCAGTCCGGGAAGATCCCACATGCCGCGGAGCGGCTGGACCCGTGAGCCATGGCCGCTGAGCCTGCGCGTCCGGAGCCAAAAAAAAGTTTTATATTACGTGTATTGTATACTGCATCCCATCAATACCTTTTGGGTCTGCTCTAAGCTAAGAGCTTACACAGACCCTTAGAGGAGGTTGGAGCTCACTTGTTGGAAGCACTTTGCTTTACAAATGAATGTTAGGGCACTGGAAGGAAGCCCTGTGCTCAGAGCTGCCTGTGCTGCTGCCACATGGTGGCCGACCGAGGCTGTGACCTTGTCCTTTGGAAAGAATACCGTTAACAAACCACTTTTTACTGTCCCTGGATGAGTACCAGGCCATGGGGCACACACATGAGTCTGCAGAATTGTCCCTTGCCTTCACATCTGGTGTGTCATAGGGTACCTTTCCATAATTTTGCTCCTTTTGGCTTTTCCTTAAACCTGCCTATGTCCCCTTAGGGTTCATCTAAAAAATGAAATGATAAGAAACTTATTTGTAGGGAAACATCGATGTAGGAAACCTCCCTGGAACATTAGCGCTAGGGGAGAGCTGCTAGGCGAAGAATTTGACTCAGATGCTCATGAATCATAGATCATATCAGTCACCAGAGAGCTTAAAAGTTTAAGGAATCACTGAGCTCTACAAGAAATGGAAATGTTCTTTCCAAAGTTAATGAATCCTTTTCTTCTCTATGCTTGACAAGTCGCTGCCAAGTGGGAAATTGCAGATGCTATCTGATGCCAGTCTGAATAACTTTAATGATCTGCATAATTGGAATTCACTGTGATAATTAGAACAGTGGCACCAGAGTTCATTGTACAAAGAGCAATATCACACATCATCTATTTAAAAATGCAAGGCCCACCTCACGGCTCTCCACTGCAGGACACTGGCTTGCATCATTTGATTTCTGTCACAACTTCAGTCCTGTGTTGTTAGACCGTTTAGAAATAGATGAAGTTATTTTAGAACACTTGTATGAGTTGAGGTAGTTTTTGTCTTGTAAGCTGGTCGTTACATAAATGTCATTACACTTCATTTAAGTTTGGGAGGTATTTTAGAAGAGCAGGTAAGTTTTAAGGCGTCTTGGGTTTCTTGTATTGGCCCTATTGAATTGACTTGGGTAGAATCTGGGACCTCAAGCTTTCCTGTAATTACCAACGCCCCAGCAGCCAGCTTGAGAAAGAGCTCTTGTAAATGTATTAATGAGCTTGGTTATTTAGAGGAAAATTGTTTCTTGAGAGGTTGGGTCCCTTGGTGTTCGTGACAGGAGAGATCGGGCTAAGGGTTCAGAGGATCGACCTTCGTGCTGGCCAAGTTATGTTGGAGTACATTTAAACCAGAGGCAAGGAAGCTTCCAGGTGGGTTCCGGAGAGTCACGGACAGGCAAAAATAGATACCGGTGGATGGTCACACCAAAAGGAGCTGATTTGATAGCTATTAAAATAGATAGATTTCTTAATCCAGTTGAGAATTTTTTTTTTTTTTTTGTCCGCGTCAAATGCGGTTCCCTGCCCAGGGATCGAACCTGTGTCCCCTGCAGTGTAAGCGTGGAGTCTCAACCACAGGACCGCCAGGGGGGTCCCATACAATAGCTAATTTGAGGGAGAGGGGAGGAACAGTGAAAGGGGGAAGAGCTGTTGTCAAGCCACCCATCAACGTGGCCAAGATGGACTTGTGGGAGGTCGCATCCCGTCCTGTTTCCTGAGAGCAGTGTCACTGCAGGTCTTCAGGCTGCATGGGCTGTGCAGCTGAGCTGGGAGCAGATCTGGCCTGAAAGCCTAAGTGCACCTGGCTTCGAAGGCCTTTTCCCTGACTGTAGCCAGAATGGCCTTCCACAGACACACTACTTACACTTCTCACTCCTCTACTTACAGACCTCCCAGGCCGCTGCCCCAGAAGGCCTTCCCTCACCTCTCTGCTTTGTCCCCACGGCACCAGATTGTCATTGCCCTTTTGCTTGGCTTCACTCGAGAATCCGCTATTGCTAGCATATGTAGTGCTTAGAAAAATGTGTAAAAAATAAGCAAAGGATTCTCTTTCTCCGTTCTGTCCTGATGAGTCACAAGAAGTGTTAGGTCTTTACAGTTCACCAGGGTAGCCGCACAGGGCAACCCCTAAGAGCTTGGGTTTGGATCAAACTTCCTGGATTCCCATCCCATTTCTTCCCAGATGTGTGACCGGCCTCAGACACATTAATAACCTCCCTTGCCTACTCTACTGAACAGGACGGTGGGGAACGTCACCTACACCAGGCTTGTTATGAGATGGGAGAATCCACGTCAAAAGCCAAGCCCATAATGAGCTTTCCAGACAGGTTAACCTCCATGGTTACCTTGGACTAGATCTGGACTTGACTGCGGTATATTACTCACCATCATTGTTAGGCTTAAGGGAGTAGAGCTAAGTCCATATTTAGTAACAGGCCATTGTTTGGTTGTCCCCAGAGCATGGAGACTCATCTTTGAAGGTCAATGACAAGATCTAATATTTGTGATCATCTCAGTGGAGTGTACCCATTATTCAGCTGTTCTTGGGGCTGGAGTCGGGAGGGCCCTGAGACAGAAAGAATTCCCTGTAAATTACTTTCCCAAGACTATAGTTGGACTTATTGCCACTGAGTTTTAATTTTTTTTTAATATTATTTCTATTTCATGCAGTGGGAAGTCTGTACTGAACTGATAGGTTAGAATAAGCTTTATTGTGTGGAGGTATGCTTGAAAGAACACAGTTTAACCTTGAGTTAATTCTAATTTATCAATAACAAGGATTGTCATGCTGGGTTCTACTGTACCCAAGTAGTAATTTTCACAGGGATACATTTTGCCAGGAAATAAGAGGCTGATAGGTTCCCTGGTTCACAGGAAGTTAGGTGATGAACTGCAGAAAATATTTCCAGATTATTGGTAGGTCCGTCTAGTCCTAAACTGACAATGAGCCTTGGTAATCAGCAACAGGGATGAGCCAGCCTTCTGGGGCGTCCGTGCTAAGCCCTAAGCCCTAGACTATGCGATGGGACCTCTTCCCACTCTAGACCCCAGGTCTGGGGCTGAGCCTTCAGCTGGGAGTCAGGTACCCCTGCCCCTACCCTGAGCCAGGGCAGGCTCAAAATACTTGGAATCTGAAGGGGAACTTCAGCAGTGCCTTTTACATATAAGCTGTAACCCTGAGAACCAAGAAGCACATTTCCCATTATCCTGGCTTTTTTTTTTTTTTAATATTTATTTATTTGGTTGCACCAGGTCTTAGTTGTGGCAGGCGGGCTCCTTAGTTGTGGCTCGCCAGCTCCTTAACTGCAGCATGTGGGCTCCTTAGTTGTTGTGTGCAAACTCTTAGTTGCAGCATGCATGTGGGATCTAGTTCCCTGACCAGGGATCTCACTTGGGCCCTCTGAATTGGGAGTGCAGAGTCTTAACCACTGTGCCACCAGGGAAGTCCTATTTTTAGTTTTTAAAGGAAACTCCAGACTGTTCTCCGTAGTGGCTGCACCAATTTACATTCCCATCATCTGAGAGATATTTAGACGGTAGAACTGGAGGTGCTGGGATGAGGGAGAAGCAGACCTGAGTATGAATCCCATGGCCTGGGAACTGACATTTCCTGCGCCAGTCATGGGATTCCAGACCTTTCTGTCGTGTGGGGCTTCCTGACACCAGAGACCACCGATAGTGTCAAAATGCACAAGCAATGGGTAGTGTTCCCATTTACATGGGTGTGGGGGGGAGTTTGGGAGAGGAAGTGAGAGAGGTGAACCTTGGCATCTTTTTAAACTTGACAGGAGACCCACCGAGTGTGTAGATGGTGAGAGCCACGTGCTATCAGAGGGCTGCCAGGAATCCTCCATCAAGTCCAGTCCTGTGAGAGGGGCTTGGAAGCCTGCACAGCGTGAGCCCCGGCTTTCTAACTGCCGCTAGTGCGTGCAATAGATTTTCATTAGCATAGGTGCTGTTGAGGTCTTTGATCAATCCTGCCATCTGGTCCAAAGAACTGACCCGTCACTTTGAGGTTGTCTAAACCCTGGTAATAACCAGCGGGAACAAGAGGGGGCTTAGAATGTAGTCTTCAGGGCTCAGCCTCCAGTTTGGGATAATAAAGCTTCTTGCGGAATTTACGCAGGTCTTCTTGGCCCTTGGCATTAAACTGTGTGTGTGTGTGTGTGTGTGTGAAATAATTTTTTTTTTTTAGAATAACAAAAAATATTTTACTTAAACATAAGATTTACAGAAGTTTCCAGACAAGCCATACAAAATGGTCACAAGCTTTTTCTTGAAGGGAGGATTCTGCACTTGACAGCAAAGTCACAGTGTTATTAGTGAGGGCTGTGATGTTTGTTTAATGTTCCCATTTTGGTTCAAACAATCAAGCTTGTCCATCTAAAGTTAGACTTGGCTAGAGAGCATATTCTAAAGAGTGGGTTAGCTGCTTTTTTTTTTTTTCTTTTTTTTTGCTGTACGCGGGCCTCTCACTGTTGTGGCCTCTCCCGTTGTGGAGCACAGGCTCCGGACGCGCAGGCTCAGCGGCCATGGCTCACGGGCCCAGCCGCTCCGCCGCATGTGGGATCTTCCCGGACCGGGGCACGAACCCGTGTCCCCTGCATCGGCAGGCGGACTCTCAACCACTGCGCCACCAGGGAAGCCAGGGTTAGCTGCTTTTAACCAATGCAATCAGATCACCATAAAAAGGGGGAAAGGAGCCCATAAAATTCAAATAAAACTACCTTCCCCCGACCACCAAAAAATAATAATAATAAAGAAAAACACCCACACCCCTGCAGCTAACCCTGACAACTACCTTCATTCACAGCGCTTTATACTCAAACCATGATGGGGAAATGAATAAAAGCAGAGAAGGGCCGCTGCTTTTAAACGTCTCGCAACAATCCAGATGACATTTCTAGCCTCTGCTCCTGCTTTACAACAGTGAGTCAGGACAAGACATAGATTTGCTACTGTGCATTCAATCACCAGGGGACTGAAGATGTCTGGGCTTTTATTCTGTAATGTTTCTAAGACTGTGTCCATTAAATGCAAACAAAAAAGGAAGAAGTCTTGGCAGAACAGGAGAAGTGATGCACACTTGATGATCGGATCGATTTCAATATTATTCATGGCATATAGCCTAGTCCATGCTCTAGCTGTTTCTATGGCTTGGGCTTCGTTGGTCTTCCACTGCTCTGCTACATCATCTGCTGATGGGTCATCTGGGTCGGGAGCACTTAGCAAAGCCTGGATCGATAGCAGGACTGCGCGGATCTGCAGTGCTGGGGACCACTTATCTTTCAAAATATCTAAAACATATTCTTCCCAACTTGTCTACATTAGGATGATAAATTTTGGTCATGAAACGTACTTTAGGGGCTGCCATTGGGTATTCTTCTGGAAGGAATAGTTCAGGTTTAAAAGTTCCTCCCTCGAAGGGGGAATCCTGAGGGTCAGCAATGACCACATGAAAATAACGGGCGCTGCTCTCATCTGGTTCTGCTTTAATGCCAGGAACTGGCTCTGCCAGCAAACGCTGGGTTTCCTTGATAACCATGCAGGGCAGCCCGGCCATCTTGTCAGATCCCGAGTTCAGCCTCTGGTCTCGCCTCTGGCTCCGCTCGCCTCACGCACGAATGTGTGAAATAATTTTCATGTGGGGGGTTATTTATTAAATTGCAGCATTTCCCCATTAATAGATGTCTTCCAATCAACCGTTTTTGTTAGAGAGATCACAGCTCTGCTAGCAGTGAGTTAGGTTTTCTTAGAAATCAGTAATCAGTTCCATAGCATTTCCCAGGGGTCTGGGGTTTCTGCAACAACTTTGCAGGCATCAAAGGGGAATGCAGAGAGTCTAAAATCTGGTTGAAAAAATCTGTATTTAAATGCCCTCTCAAACCACTGACACAAGTATAGACGTAGATATAGGTACGTGTATAAATTATAGATGCATCTAAATCTGTCATCCTTGGAGAGCCTTTGTCGCCGTTGAACTCAGCTTTGTCATCTCTAAAATGGGGTGAAATGAGATAATATCTCATTTCATCTCATCTCAGGATGAAATGAGATAATATCACCTAAAATTCTTGGCAAAGGATCACTTATCTTTCATGTTTTTTTGTTTTTTCTTCTTCAAATTTTTCTTATTCTTTCTAGCTTCCTCTTCCTCATGAACTTCAGAATCATTTTGTCAACAGATTCCCTTTTTTTTTTGCGGTACGCGGGCCTCTCACTGTTGTGGCCTCTCCCGCTGTGGAGCACAGGCTCCGGACGCGCAGGCTCAGCGGCCATGGCTCACGGGCCCAGCCGCTCCGCGGCATGTGGGATCTTCCCGGACCGGGGCACGAACCCATGTCCCCTGCATTGGCAGGCGAACTCTCAACCACTGCGCCACCAGGGAAGCCCTGTTGGAAGATTTTTAATCACAGTTTCAATTTCATTACTTGTGATTGGTCTGTTCATATTTTCTATTTCTTCCTGGTTCAGTCTTGGAAGGTTATACCTTTCTAAGAATTTGTCCATTTCTTCCAGGTTGTCCATTTTATTGGCATACAGTTGCCTGTAGTAGTCTCTTAGGATGCTTTGTATTTCTTCAGTGTCTGATGTAACTTCTCCTTTTTCATTTCTAATTTTATTGATTTGAGTCCTCTCCCTCTTTTTCTTGATGAGTCTGGCTAGTGGTTTATCAATTTTGTTTCTCTTCTCAAAGAACCAGCTTTTAGTTTTATTGATGTTTGCTATTGTTTTCTTTGTTTCTATTGCATTTATTTCTGTTCTGATCTTCATGGTTTCTTTCCTTCTGCTAACTTTGGGTTTTGTTTGTTCTTCTTTCCCTAGGTGTAAGGTTAGATTGTTTATTTGAGATTTTTCTTGTTTCTTGAGGTAGTCTTCTATGGCTATAAACTTCCCTCTTAGAACTGCTTTTGCTGCATCCCATGGATTGTTGTGCTTTCATTGTCATTTGTCTCTAGGTATTTTTTGATTTCCTCTTTGATTTCTTCAGTGATCTCTTGGTTATTTAGTAACGTACTGTTTAGCCTCCATGTGTTTGTGTTTTTAAAGTTTTTTTTCCCTGTAATTCATTTCTAATCGCATAGCATTGTGGTCAGAAAAGGCGCTTGATATGATTTCAATTTTCTTAAATTTACTGAGGCTTGATTTGTGACCCAAGATGTGATCAGTCCGGAGAATGTTCCATGCGCACTTGAGAAGAAAGTGTAATCTGCTGTTTTTGGATGCAATGTCCTATAAATATCAATTAAATCTATCTGGTGTATTGTGTCATTTAAAGCTTCTGTTTCCTTATTTATTTTCATTTTGGATGATCTGTCCATTGGTGTAAGTGAGGTGTTAAAGTCCCTCGCTATTTTTGTGTTACTGTCGATTTCCTCTTTTAAAGCTGTTAGCAGTTGCCTTATGTATTGAGGTGCTCGTATGTTGGGTGCATATATATTTATAATTGTTATATCTTCTTCTTGGATTGATCCCTTGATCATTATGTAGTGTCCTTCCTTGTCTCTTATAACATTCTTTATTTTAAAGTCTATTTTACCTGTTATGAGTATTGCTACTCCAGCTTTCTTTTGATTTCCATTTGCATGGGATCTTTTTCCATCCCCTCACTTTCAGTGTGTATGTGTCCCTAGGTCTGAAGTGGATCTCTTGTAGACAGCATATATATGGGTCTTGTTTTTGTATCCATTCAGCAAGCCTGTGTCTTTTGGTTGGAGCATTTAATCCATTCACGTTTCAGGTAATTATAGATATGTATGTTCCTATGACCATTTTCTTAATTGTTTTGGGTTTGTTTTTGTAGGTCCTTTTCTTCTCTTGTGTTTCGCACTTAGAGAAGTTCCTTTAGCATTTGTTGTAGAGCTGGTTTGGTGGTACTGAATTCTCTTAGCTTTTGCTTGTCTGTAAAGCTTTTGATTTCTCCATCGAAACTGAATGAGATCTTGCGTGAGTAATGAATCTGAATGAATCTGAATGAGATCTTGAGTAGAGTAATCTTGGTTGTAGGTTCTTCCCTTTCATCACTTTAAGTATATCGTGCCACTCCCTTCTGGCTTGTAGAGTTTCTGCTGAGAAATCAGCTGTTAACCTTATGGGAGTTCCCTTTTATGTTATTTGTCATTTTTCCCTTGCTGCTTTCAATAATTTTTCTTTGTCTTTGATTTTTTTACAATTTGATTACTATGTGTCTCGGTGTGTTTCTCCTTGGTTTTGTCCTGTATGGGACTCTCTGAGCTTCCTGGACTTGGGTGGCTATTTCCTTATCCATGTTAGGGAAGTTTTCGACTATAATCTCTTCAGATATTTTCTTGGGTCCTTTCTCTCTCTCTTCTCTTTCTGGGACCCCTATAATGTGAATGTTGTTGCGTTTAATGTTGTCTCAGAGGTCTCTTAGGCTGTCTTCATTTCTTTTTTCTTTATTCTGTTCCACAGCAGTGAATTCCACCATTCTGTCTTCCAGGTCACTTATCCGTTCTTCTGCCTCAGTTATTCTGCTATTAATTTCTTCTAGTGTAGTTTTCATTTCATTTATTGTATTGTTCATCTCTGTTTGTTTCTTCTTTAATTCTTCTAAGTCTTTGTTAAACGTTTCTTGCATCTTCTCGATCTTTGCCTCCATTGTTTTTCCGAGGTCCTGGATCATCTTCACTATCATTATTCTGAATTCTTTTCTGGAAGGTTGCCTATCTCCACTTCATTTAGTTGTTTTTCTGGGGTTTCATCTTGTTCCTTCATCTGGTACATAGCCCTCTGCCTTTTCATCTTGTCTATCTTCCTGTGAATGTGGTTTTTGTTCCACAGGCTGCAGGACTGTAGTTCTTGCTTCTGCTGTCTGCCCTCTGGTGGATGAGGCTATCTAAAAGGCTTGTGCAAGTTTCCTGATGGGAGTGACTGGTGGTGGGTAGAGCTGACTGTTGCTCTGGTGGGCAGAGCTCAGTAAAACTTTAATCCGTTTGACTGCTGATGGGTGGGGCTGGGTACCCTCCTTGTTGGTTGTTTGGCCTGAGGCAACCCAACACTGGAGCCTAGCTGGGCTCTTTGGTGGGGCTAATGGAGGACTCTGGGAGGGCTTATGCCAAGGAGTACTTCTCAGAACCTCTGCTGCCAGTGTCCTTGTCCCTACCGTGAGCCACAGCCTCCCCCGCCTCTGCAGGAGACCCTCCAATACTAGCAGGTATGTCTGGTTCAGTCTCCTCTGGGGTCGCTGCTCCTCCCCCTGGGTCCCGATGCACACAGTACTTTGTGTGTGCCCTGCAAGAGTGAAGTCTCTCTTTCCCCCAGCCCTGTCAAGGTCCTGCAATCAAATCCCACTAGCCTTCAAAGTCTGATTCTCTAGGAATTCCTCCTCCTGTTGACAGACCCCCAGGTTGGGAAGCCTTATGTGCGGCTCAGAACCTTCCTTCCAGTGGGTGGACTTCTGTGGTATAAGTGATCTCCAGTCTGTGAGTCCCCCACCCAGCATTTGTGGGATTTGATTTTACTGTGATTGCGCCCCTCCTACCATCTCACTGTGGCTTCTCCTTTGTCTTTGGATGTGGGATATCCTTTTTTCTGAGTTCCAGTGTCTTCCTGTCGATGATTGTCCAGCAGCTAGTTGTGATTCTGGTGTTCTCACAAGAGGGAGTGAGAGCACATCCTTCTACTCCACCATCTTGGTTCAGGCAAGACTGGTAGTTCTGAGAATGCTCTTATACCTTCATTTAATTTCTAGCTAGCGATTTCCTCTGAGACAAGAGCTGTGAAAGCTTAGAGCACTCTCCGAGGGTGTACTTTTTCTATATCAAGTCTGTCTTAGACAAACTAGAGCTGGTGGATGGATGACTCCTCTGGTTACAGCTGCGAGAGGAAGCTCAGCTCGTTATTTTAGACCTGGCCTCAAGAACTGTCTGGACACTTTTTCCATAAAAGGTGAATATTTTCGGCTTTGCCAGCCATGTTGTCTCTATGGCAACTCCTCAATCCTGCAGTGAAAGCAGCCCCGGACAATATGGAAACAAGTGGGCGTGGCTGAGTGCCCAATAAACTTTGTTCACAAAAACACGTGGTGGGCTGGAGCCCCAGACAATATGGAAACAAGTGGGCGTGGCTGAGTGCCCAATAAACTTTGTTCACAAAAACACGTGGTGGGCTGGATTTGACCAGCCGTGGTGTAGGGCAATGGTTAAGAGACCAGGCTCTCGAGCCAGGCTGCTTGGACTCAAATCCAAGCTCTGCCACTTTTTATCTATAGCTTAAGTCAATTATTTAACCTCTTTGTGGTTAAATTCTTTTGATGGTTCATTTTACGTGTCAACTTGACTAGGCTAAGAGATACTCAGATGGCTGGTAAAACATTAATTTTTGTTGTGTCTGTGAGGGTGTTTCTGGAAGAGATTAGCATTTGGATTGGTAGACTGAGTAAAGAAGATCACCCTCACCAATGCAAGTGGGCATGATCCAGTCCATCAAGGGCCTGAATAGAGCAAAAAGGCAGAGCAAGCACAAATTCACTGTCTCTACTTGAGCAGAGACATCCACCTTCTCCTGCCCTCAGACATCAGAGTTCCTGGTTCTTGGGCTTTTAGGCTTAGACTGGGAGTTACACCATCTGCCCCCTTGTTCTCAAACCTTTAGACTTGGAATGAATTACGTCATCAGTTTTTATGGATCTCACCTTGCAGATGGCAAGACTTTTCAACTTCCATAACCCCATGAATCAATTTCTATAACAAATCCCTTATTTCTCGCTCTCTCTCTCCCTATATATCTTTCTACTGTCTATCCCATTGATTCAGTTTCTCTGCAGAATCCTGACTAATACAGTCCCCCAATATCCACCCTCCCCCTTTTCGTAGCAGGGAAGTTTTTAGCTGGGCACATGGCATCCCAGAATAAAGACTACATTTCCCGGCTCCCTTGCAACGATGTGTAGCCATGCACTTATGTTTTATTCAATGGCATCTAAGCCGAAAGGTCATGAATTCATTTCTGAGAAGTCTTCCTTCAGAGACAGCCCTTCTCTCTGCTTTTCAAAAACCCCTTCTGTCATGCTGCCTGCACTGTGGTGCTGCCAGTGTGGACCCTGAGGGTGAGGGCCACCACCCAGAGACAACAGCGTGGTGAGCTCTGAGTAAGCTCTGAAGACTCCCCGGAGCAGAGACTCCATGTGTGTCCAG